AAATGAATGGTTGGTTTCCAAAAAAAACCATACCTAAATCCCAAATCCCCTCAAAAAGATGTCCGCCTAATCATAACTAGCTGAACTATAACACACATAAACAACACAGAGTCATTCATTCATTTGACTGTTGAAAGCATAGGAAATCTGACTTAAACTTTTCACCATAAAAGAATGAAGAAGGAAGGAAGAGTTGTTGAGATGGGAATGAGAACGGGTTGCATCTTGAGTCTTCACAGTTTCTTAGTTGGAAAATAAATAACATTTTTTCTGTACTATTGCTGTGTTAATCATCCACCAAGGACCCTGAAATAGATCACATGAGCACTTCATTGAATAACTTGGAAAATCAATGTGCACACAAATAGAGAATTGGTCAAACACGCTAAAGAAGTTTAACAGCCAGCAGGGTTAAACCGTTTTAACATTTTCTTTCGGAAATACCAAGACTGTGATGCTACACAGAAGTATGAGAGCAACACAGGACTTTGAATAAGGAAGATGACTGTTCAGAAAAAAACGAAACGCTAAAAATAGTGGGAATTTGTTTCAGGATAAAATCAAAGAACGTCTGACTTGGACAATTTGTTCATTATCTTGTGTACAAAGGATTGACTCATTCGATTTGTTTTTGCGTGTAGCATGGAAGTTGCATAGTACTTAGTTTTATAGATGTTTTGCAGCCGAACAGTTACATAACTTCAAATATAAGACGTCCGATGTAATCATGGCAAGATGTTGAGTTGTGCAAGACTTTTTATTCTGTAAATAATTAAGCCCCGCTTGCACACATCCCTGCTTTGTGTGTCATGAAGATATTCAGTAGATCTTTCAGAATGTGAAGGTAGTTTATTTATTTCAGCAGGTTTTGCGTCAACATGTCAATGACAGGGTCACATTTAGGACACAACAATGTGTAGAACTCAAACATAAATATACTTTTTGTTTGTCTTCAATGTCGTTTGCATCACATGCTTTGTTGGGCATTCACTCATGCTCATCTGGTGATTACTTTTTTCACATTCCCTTCATGTACATAAAAAAAATGTTCATGCAAAAAAACACTTGTGGTGATTTCTGCACACTTCCCTGCATAGAACAGTTGGACGGGAAAAGTAATAGTTGTTTCCACTGTGTGTTAAAATGAGTCAAATATGTTGCACGACCTGGTTTACCCTTTCCAGGAAGGATGAAGTTATTTCATTTGCAGCTGGAAGCGCTTTACTGATCCCCGTCTCTAAACAGAAACTAGATGACGTTCTCAAAGAGCTGCATGGAAGCCATAATGTTTTCATCCTGTTGAGAAAAGAAAGCAGATGGAAGAGAAAATGTGTTTGTTTGTTTTGAAAGCTGCATGAACTCACTCAGTTTGACCGGAGTTTTACCTTTTGACAGGTTTCTATGAACTCATCAATAGTCACCACGCCGTCTCTGTTCCGATCCATTTTCTGAAAAATGTCAGACATGGAAAGGAAACATTGCACAATTAATGAAGTGTAAAATGATATTTATCTAAAGTACAACAGTGTGTCACAACATGATAATGATTATCTGTGGTTTTAAAAGAGGTCCAGCCTTCAGAATGATTAAACAAACGGCTTTGTGTTATTGAGAGGGTGTCAACGGAGAGTGTCACTGGTCAAACACCCTACAGTATACAGGTTCATTGACACACACTGTGACTTGATACAGTATAGGCCTACTGAATGTATTAACATTATTAAGCTTTGTGGCTGCATAGATAACAAACCTGGAAGAATCTCTCCACATGCTCATATGGAGAATCATCCCGTACACTGGGTAAGGTATATCTGCCCATCATGTCATAAATTGATGTCATTATTGCCATCATTTCCTGCAGGAAACCAGAGACACAGACAGAAATGAAGAACCTGCAACACATTTTGTTTTGTTTTCCTGTTTGTTGAAGTTACCTCTTTTGTAACGTAGCCATCTTTGTTGATGTCGTACAAGTTGAACGCCCATCGAAGTTTCTCTGTGACAGAGCCTCTTAGCAACACAGACAGTCCTATAACAAAGTCCTGTAAAAACAATAAGACGTATTATTATAACCTCTCTTTTTGGTTTCTTTCACAAATATTCAGTCAGTGGTGCACTCACCTCAAACCGGATGGAGCCACTTCTGTCCATATCAAATGCTTGGAACAAGAAATGTGCATACATGGTTGCGTCTGAGAACATAAAATGAATATACAATACACTTAAGAAAGGTACTAGTTGTATACTGAGAATCAGATGCTTATATAACACCAGTTCATTAATTGAATACTGTACCTCCTTGAGGGAAGAACTGAGAGTAAATGCTTTTGAAAGTTTCCTCATCCACCAGCCCACTGGGACATTCCTGTGGAAGGAAATAAACATTTACATAATTTAAGTCAGAGCGTACACTATTCATAATAAATTATATTTGAAATTACACAGTTAGAGTTATGTAATAACAAGAATAACAGACAATAATGGTTATGGCATTCTATCATTGTATTCTCCTGTGCAGTATCAGCCCCTGCCTGAAATGCAGATCTAATGTATGGCCACAAGAGGGCATAAAGAACTTAAAAAAACCTTCACTATTTATGGAACATCTCTATGGGGCCCTTGGTTCTTTTTTTGCAAAATAAATACCCACAATGCAGCTACCCCAGATTACTTCAGCAATGAAAAGCCTTAAGGCACATGTGTAAACTCTGGTGAGACAATTCCTTAAGTAAATCAAGGTAAATGCAAGTAGTGCATGTAAAGGAAACAGTAACAGACAGACAGAGAACATTAGATTTTGAAAATAAAATCTCTTAAAAGGGCATTTTCCCATTATATTTCACTTAGAAGACCACCTAGAGCAGGGGTCGGCAACCTTTTTGATATGAAGTGCCATTTAAAAAAAATATGTTTATCAGCGNTCATGCAGAGTGAGATGAGATCGCTGTCCCTTTAAGAGAGAGAGAAAGAGGGGTGTGGCTTGTGCATGTGTGTTTGTGGATGGTAGAGCGACAGTGAGGGAACGTGTGTTTGTTTCTGGAAGTGAAACGAGGCAGCAAAAACAGAGGTCTGTGATGTATTTTGTGAAACAGAAGAACAGCTAAATAAATGCAACGGCCTCCTAAGAAGAGCTCGCCACTCTCCAGTCATTTAAGCTAAAGTGGGTTATTGAACCTGAAGCTTGTTGCTTCTTCCCTCCTCGACTACGGTCTGGGAGCCGACAGGAAAGTTCAACACACAGATGGCCCTTTGTAGCATATTATTTCGATGAGAGATGAGCAGATCGCCACTGGGCTTTCAACTAAATACACAGCCACGCAAAAACTGCGGCATTTGTACAGCTCCTTATGGGTAGGCCTACTGCAATTAGTGAAGTGCTTTCCTCCGTGGTGAAACGATCAGCACTGCACCACGGAGGAAAGCGGCAGAAAGTCACCTGGAGATAAAGAGAACGGGGCTGCGTTGAGTGCATGGCAGGTAACGGGGAGACGCGCTCTGGCGGCGGTCTCGTTCAGGATCCGAAAATACAATTTAAATATTTTGCACACTTATTCCTAGTGTGCCACTGGTTACGGTGCCGCGTGCCAATGCTGGCACGCGTGCCAGGGGTTGCCGACCTCTGACCTAGAGCAAGTCCCCCTGTAGAGATTTCATTACAGTTTGTTTACTCTGAAGGTCTCTTACCATTATGTGACGTTAAGGGCTCAGGAACGTGAACACATTTGTTTATATTTAATTAAAGTCCGATTTGTTAACATTAGCTTGCACTCTTCTTCTTCCCTTAAAGGCACATAATCGTCACTAACTGTCGATTCATTACCCATTGTTTTGTCAACAACATTTTGTGGATAGCCTGAAAAGTGGAGATTTATAGTAGCAGCATATTAATCCTAATTGTTTGGGAAATATGTTAAATAACCACATATGGGTAAATATTGGGACATCCACATCATTTTGGCCTCATATCTGGTGTAATGTAAATATAAATGTGTCTGCAAGCTTTATTCTGGTCAATGATTGATCCGTCTCAACTGGACCCCTGCGCCACCGTTAACTAATGATTTTCGTTAAGATGAAGGCTCGTCCTCTCTAATCAGATCCACTAGCGCTGACTGATTGTTTTCATACATTTTTAAAGCCTCTGTAGAGCGACTGGAGCTCCTTCCTGGTGAACTGTGTCTGGGCCTGGAGCTGATCGAGGCCCTCGGGCTGGTGACGCACCATGGAGAGTTCAAGTTCTCCGTCACAACTGTCTGTCAGTGGGACACAGAGAAAATAGGGGGTGGGGTGGGAAATAAGGGGAAGAAAAAAAGAAGGAGGAAACAGGGGAAGGACAAGAAAGAAAGACCACAAAGGACAGGGAGAGGAGGAGTTGAAAATACTAGAAAATCATAATAGATGGGAGGCAAAATATAAGTACAGAACATAACACAAAATGCTCACCATCTGTACAGACCACATAGAAATTCAAAAAATTAAGAGGGATATGTAATACAAGGAAGTGGGTAAGAGATACGAAACAAAGTAGTTAGAAGAATGTACAGTATTGCTTAAATATGATAAAAACACACCAATGGTGTAAAATGTTTAGGGATATTTTTTGATAAAGAAGATGACAAATATATTAATTAGAGGAGCGTCTACTGTAGCTTGGAAAAATGAGGGTAGTTAGAGGAAATAAGCATGAAATACAGTATAAGTATAAATAAGTGGTGGAAGCAGTTCAAGGAATTGTTGACATCTTGGCTGTGTCCAAAATAACCCCCTCTTTCACTAAACCTCTTATTCCTTCATAATAACCAGTCATTTATATACTGTATAGTATGGAATAAATTGAGATTTCTTAACACAAATAAATATCATTTCGTGCCTGTAATTGACAAGTGTGTTACTACTTAAACTTGAACACACATTTTAAAAACAAATTGTTCTTAAACCTACATCTTTGCTATAAAAAGGGGGGATTAATCATGAAGAAATAAGGCTGCCAGGAAATACACAGACATAAAATCTACATATTTTTGGTTACTTTTTTTGTGATAATTCTGACATTTGGATAAATAAATGGACAGTAGAGAGGGATTTCAGACACATCCTCTGGTTTGCTTTATAATCCCAGGTTTTACTAATTAACATTGGGGGAAATTCTGCAACATCACCTGAATACAAGGCAGCCATAATTCATTTTAGTAACACCGTGTTTGACAAGTCTAGATGTCCAAAAGGGAATATGCATTATTCTATCAGCCAAAGGGACAGTTCATTTAGATAACAAATGAAGGGAAGGAAGTTTACAAAAGATAGCTGGGATTAAAATAAAAACCTTATTGATAATACCGGAATGAATACCTCAAGAAGTACTACTCACCATCTTTAAAGAAAGCACAACACAAAAGTTGACCAGCAAGAGATGGTGGTGAAGAAAATGAAAGGGGGAAGAAGAAACTGTTAATGCTTAATCTCTAAAAGTGACACAAACATACCAACACAGTGAACACATTTAAAAAACAACAACAACATAAAGGTGAACATGCTATTATGTACGCTGAAAGAGTTTGTGGTTGCCTCAAATGTCCCAGGAGTAACAATTACAGCAACAACAAATATTTCTATATACTTTATCCTTTCCTTTTGAAATCCATAATCCACATCCCTTTAATATTTTACAGCTGCCTTATGTGACTGCACTCACTTATAATTTAGCACCTCAACAAAACAACTGGAAAGTTTAAACGATTTTTCTTCTTCAGAAAATCCCATGCAAAGGTCTCAACATCTTACCTTCGAGTGACAAGGGCTCCCAAACTCCAAACTGTTTGAGCACGACATAAAACAGCCCGAATACAACAGCAATGGCAATTACTTCCATGCCATCCATTCCCATTGTTGCCTTGCATTAGATACCGCCTGTTCAAAAGCCCTCTAAAAAAAAAACTTGATGTCAATTTCCTCCTGCCACGTCAGGGATTTTGTCCAGGATCACTTAAAAGAAACCCCTGACTTCAACCACTGACCAATAAAGCAACAAATAGAATCCTCATTTGCCTGCAGAGCATCCTCGTTTGGATTAAAAGTCCGTCATGTGTGCAGAAAAATTACAATCATAGTGTTAATCGACTTAAATGATCCAAAGCTTTCCAAAAAATCCAACAGCTGGTGTTTTACCTCCTGGATAGTTCATTTTAGGATCTGTCCAACAACTCAGGGGCTCCACCCCACACTCACTCCATCTCCTCTCTGTCCTGATCTGTGTGTTTGAGTGTGTGTGTGTTGGAGGTTTGTAGGGGCAGGAGGGGGTTGTTACTGAAGGAATTTCTTTACTAATAGTCCCTGATTGACAGTCTGTATTTGCTCAGTCATTTCAAGGATGCAAAGCTGTAAAACCAAGCATTGATCCACATCCGCTGATGGCTGGGATTTGAGCAGCACTTATAAAGAAGGAGCCGGCCCTGCCCTGTGTGGCGCTGCTTGTTTCTCCTACGTCAACCAGCCGCACACATATTCAATAACTCAGCAGGATTCACTTAAAGACGAAAAAAAACGGTGACTGTTAAACCGGGGCTTTGTTTACGACACTGTAGTTAAGCAAAGGGCAGTTACATCTGTGCTGAACGATGAGCTGCACACCTTTGAGGTCAGTAAGAAGCCTCTGTAAAATGCTCCTTCCATGCTTACATGTTGGTGTAAAAGTACTTTTTGTTGTTGCAAAGGCACGAGTGAGGCTTTGTATTATTGTGTGCCGCCGGAGGACAATGTAAGTGTTTGAGAATAGTTCACAGCTGATGACTCTGCACAACATAATGGACTCAGTTCAAGTAGGAAAGGGGGGTGGAGGGCAAATCAATTGTTGAGAGATAAATATTGGTCTAAGAAGAGGGAGAGAAGGCAGGCCAGAAATGCATTTTGATTGCCGCCGATGGTTTATGTAAATAGCCTTGTACTTAATGTCTGAGTCAAACAGCTAAGGTGCACTGATGAACTGGGATGGTGCAATTTCCAAAACAACAAAAAACATTTGGCCGCTGCACAGAGCAGTGTAACAGCTGTATTTCATAGGGAGATTTGGTGTCGTAGTGCGTGATTGTTTGTGTTCTTTTAATAAAAGTTGTGTGTCATAAATCAAACAAGTTCCTAAGTTGAGTATATGGAAGAATAGTATTGTTTTTTTGTAAATTGTCACTAAATCACCCTACTAAAATACATTGAACTAAATAATAGCCTTCATTTTTCCCTAATAAGCTTAATTTTGCCTTACACGAGTCAGAGGATTTAAACTGTGTTGATTGATCGTCTAGCTAACTAGTTATCCTTTACTTACAAACATAGATTTTTATAAAGTGTTTTTGATGTGTTGGCTAATCCTACCTCGACGGAGGAAACGCACTCGGCCATTAGAGAACATGCAAGATGTATGAGCTAATGTGGGAACTGGCCTAACATAAACAATAAGGCAGCAGTATAATGTTTAATGCACCCTAAGTGCTGATCTACCCCCGTTCTTATATTAAACACAGCGAGGTGGCTTAAGCATGCAGAGATGCAGACAGTGCATCAGTTTCCCCCTCAGGCTTTAATGACTGTGGAGAGAGCATTACAGCTCAGAGCCTCAGCTCATCCATCAAACACGTCACAGGTTCTCCTCTCAGGAAGAAACACCCGAAACATCGCTCTCTCTCAGCCTCTTTCTTAGTGCATGCTTTTATCTTTTTTATTGATTTGTATGCATTTTCTTTGTCAAGAAATGCTTTACATTGCATTTTTTTTCAAGGTGGATTACACCTTCCATTGCCCAGTTTTTTTAAAACTTTTTGTTTATTGAATAGTTTTTTTTCCATACTTTGCTAAAATATACAAACTCATTTCTAACTTTTAAGTAAATAAGTAAAAAAAAAAAAACGAAGAAACTTGCCTTATCATATCCCTTAAATTATTTTACATATAAACATGTGTCCCCTCTGTGCTAAGAGATTCGGAAAGCTTCAGTAAAAAAAGATCCCCTCTCTTTTTGTCCTGAACCATTTTTATAAAAACCTGTCCAACCAGATTTTGGCCACTTTGTGATGTCATAATGTTTTTTTGGGTTGTGCAACCATTAGCCAATAACCAACCAAGGTAACACCGTATTACCTGAATCTCCTCCTAGAGGACCATTGATGAGCACACATCAGAAAGGGGCGTGGCCAGCAGCAGCTCATTAGTATTAAAGCGACAGACACAGAATCAGCACTTTTGAAACAGGGCTGAAACAGAGGGGTTTATGGGATGCTACAACGCATGATCTGTTTGGTATTTTAGCCAAACACTTCAGAGACATCATGTTTTATCTGAGAACTATAATATATTTTTGAAAAAGAGTATAATAGAGGACCTTTAAAGTTAAAGTCCTAAAGCTGTAAATGCAGCTATATATAGCCTACCTACAGTATGTGATGGCAAAGTGAATACAAAAGTTCAACATCCTCTGCTAATCCTTTGCTGCAGTTCTAACTCACAAAATCAGAGAAACAATAATGTATGAATCACGTTTTAATATTACACAGCAATTCCATATTTTCCTGCACAATCTTATAACTATTAAGAATTTGTGTTGCATATTTTGCACTTGCATATATATCATATTGTTGTGCATGAGATACATTAAGGCTTGCGAGAGTGAGTGCAGACCATCTTGTCTTTTGTCGAACACTCAGGTGATACTATGTCTACACACCAGTAGATGGCGATCAAGTTGCTTTAAAGTTAAGGAGATATGCTTTAACACTTAAAGGTGGGGTATGTAATTTATTTCAGAAACACTTGTTATATTCCATGGAAGCTCAAAACTTCCCGATAGCAATGATTATATTAAATGCTTTGACAAAAAATACATTAAATGTCATCTGTGGAAGCCGTAGTGCTGTAAAAAGCACGACCAATAATTTTAGCCGGCCGGCTAAAATAACTGGATGGCCTACCTGCCTGTCAGCCTTCATCTGTGCACAAACTTATCTCGTGCCCTCATTGGTCATGTGCACGTTCGTGTGTGTTGGAGGAGGGGCTCTGTAAGAAAGTCTGAAGGAGGAGGCAGATTTTTTCCGGCTGTGTATTTTCAAATTCTAGCGCAGTCGAGCTGGTTTCTCCAAAATTACATACCCCACCTTTAACACATTATTTCCTTTTAAAACGTAACCAATGGTCAAATGGATTCATATAATGTTGAGAGTGAGAATACATATACAGTTGCAAGAAAAAGTATGTGAACCCTTTGGAATTACCTGGATTTCTGCATAAGTTGGTCATAAAATGTGTTCTGATCTGCACGTTTGCAGTTTGCAAAAGAGCACCTGGATATAATATTCTGTGGACAGATGAAACCAAAGTTGAGTTGTTTGGAAGGAACACACAACGCTATGTGTGGAGAAAAAAAGGCACAGCACACCAACATCAAAACCTCATCCCAACTGTGAAGTATGGTGGAGGGAGCATCATGGTTTGGGGCTGCTTTGCTGCCTCAGGGCCTGGACAGATTGCCATCATCGACGGAAAAATGAATTCACAAGTTTATCAAGACATTTTGCTGGAGAACTTAAGGCCATCTGTCCACCAATTGAAGCTCAACAGAAG